AAACGACAACTGGGACTGGGGAAATTAGGAATCAAAGTCCTGGAATGAGAGACTTAGAACAAGGGCAGTGATTCTTTGCAGGAGTTTAATACAGTACATTGAATTATTTTCAGGACTGTGGAGAGCAACACACAGCAGTGTGGCTCAGTGGCCGCCATCTTTGAGCTGGGCTCAAAATAAAAGGACACCCTTCAATGAGATGGACTGACATAGTGTCCGCAACAGCACGCTCTACCACAGCCACCATTGTGAGGAGGTCACCGGACCGGGCACTGTGAATCGGCATGATGCCCAAGGTCAGTCTGAGCCAGAGCAGACTCAAAGGTGCCTCACAACATAGCTAGCTCTTTAAGTCCATCCCTAACATTCTCTGAAAGTCTTCCAGTCAAAGTTGGTGCCGGGAACCTTTTCTTCCTGTCCCTAGTAATTCTCAGTTCCTGTTGCTGCACATTTCTGAGCAGAGGGGCAAAGCGTGTATTGCAAAGGAATCGTGTATAAAATTTAATGTGTGGGTTCAGGTTTGCGATGATTGTTGAATGTTCTTTGGAGAGGACACTGTTGAATTGAGTCATGTGCCCCTTGCAACGTGGATTGTAATCCCTCACCTGGGGATGCAACCTTGCTTGGAAATCGTCTTCTTGTATTAAGGTTATGAGCCATAGCAGTGGAAGATGTGTCCTAAACCTAACCACTTCTGCTTTAAAATAAAGATACATCTTGTCACACCAGACAGAGAGATAAGGGCACGCGGGGAAGGCAGCGCCCTGTGAAGACCTTGGTCAAACCAAAGCACCAAGGAAAGCTCGACCGCTAACAAAGAAGCAGCCTCCAGCCATAAACCAGGTGGGTGGGAAGCAGAGAGAGCAGCAAGATGGGAAAAGGAGAGGCCACATGGCATGGAGATCACCAAGGCACGAGGAGCTTACCCTAGACCCGACAGAGAGATTTCCCCTCGGGCTGCCACTCTACATTGGGACATCGAGCATCTTACACTGGGGTAAATGTATCTGTAAGTACCAACTAGTAAGTGGTATTTCCGGCTATAATTCCGACACTAAATACCTGTGACACTCACTCCGGTCAGTTTACCAAAGAGCCATAGCAATCAAGGAAGGAGACTGCTCCCGACTCCCTGCTCTGCCCTCAGGCAAACCCAGCAGAGCGGAGCCTGATGCGGTTTTTCTCACCCCACCTTCGTCCCCTCCCATTCCCTTTAGGATAGCCCACTAACACCATCTTGAAGGCTTATCTTCTTCAGAATGGAACCATTTTGCCCACCTTTAGGCAGCTGGCTTAGCCAACAGAAATAATGTCACAAAACGAGACTCAAGTGCTTTGCAGGGTGGTGTGCTGGAGAAGAAACGAGGCTTGAAATGCAAACCCCATTCCTAGTTGAGCCGGGTGTACCTGAACTGAAGGTGGACCCTTTCTGAGAGCATGGCCCAGGGCTGCCAGAAACAGCTTCACACTAAGGAGGGCTGGAAATCCTGAGCATTCTTGTCATGGCACCTGCTGTAAATCCCCAAGATTGATGGTAAGAGTTGCGTGCAGCTGTAATCATGCCTCATGCTGGGAGGATACCCTTTCCAGAAACCAGGTGTTTTTTGTGTCTGGGTTTAATCACCAAGCCCAGCCAAGCCCTGGGACACATGACTTTCGCATTCAGCAGGTGGCGGGCCGGAGCCAACCCCAGCCAGCCAGCCAGCCAGCCAGCCAGCCAGCCAGCCAGCCCTGGTTCGGGAAGTGCGAAGGGTGTTGTGGTCAAAGGACTCTAAGGAGCAGAGGGTGCCTGTGTAAACACGGGGCTGACCCCACTGACCTAGCAGCCCTTCAAGGGGCTCTTCGTGGGTGGAATGTAATTTTTGTTCTCAGTCCTGACACTTGGGGTTTGTTTTTTTTTAATTTTTTTTAATCATCAATTGGGATTCAACACATATACCATGTCATTCCATCGTTCAATCATGTCAAGTAGAGTTGTACAACTGCTACCGCAATCGGTTTCCAGGCATTCTCTTTCTACACGGACTCCCTGACATTGTCTCCCTTTTACCCCCCACCCACCCCCACCCTCCGAAACCCTTATTCTCCTTGCTGTCCCTGTACGTTCATCCATCCTGAAAGCATTTAACACAACTTCAAGAGGGTGACCTCCGTTGACATGGCACCTCTGAGAGACACCCTAATATGAACAAGCAAAAGCCAAACAGCACACGTCTTCGGAAGGCTCTCGTGGCCGACGACGGGGTTCTGGGGGCACGGTGGCTTGTGTGCTAGTCACCAGGTCGGCAGCATGAACTCACCAGCAGCCCCTGGGGAGCTAGCTTTCTGTCCACCAAAAGATGGGCAGCCTGGGAAACCCTCAGGGTCTGTTTCCTCTGCCCTGTCAGGTCAACGTGAGTCGGAACGGACCCGATGGCAGTAGGTTGGAGTTTGAGAACGGGCGGTTAGCACAAGCACCTGCTTCTGCAGTGGTTAGCCCTTAGCTGCTTGCCAAATCGTCGCTGGTTAGAAACTCAGCAGCCGCTGCCCAGGAGAAAGGTGTGCTAGTCTGTTTCCGTGGGGACGGATAGACTCAGAATCTCTTTGGACCCGCTCCACCCCCCATGGGTCGCTGCGCTGGAATCGCCTCAACAATGAACATGATTGTCAGCAGCCACTCTTCGACGTTCCTTTCATAGCTGCCCCCCCCCCCCACTTGGACATCTTGACATGAATGAGATTTATTTCCACGCTGGCAAGGGCACAGGGGCCTTTGGGATGGTATGTTTATTGTTGTAAGTGACACAAGGCAAGGATAATTTAGGACAGGTCAGAGGGTAAGTTTTTGTTGTGCCAAGAGCCAGCTGGAGGAGAGAGCAGTGTGGACCTCCAGAGTCTGGGAGCCTCCACGCTGGAGGGTGGCCAGAGAGGAGGTGTGTGCTCTTTCTCCCATGCGGTGGACAGCAAATAGCACTGCCTACCTTCAAATAGCTCAAAGTGTCTGTTTCTGTATTCCCAAAGCAGGACACACGCCCCAAGCATGGCAACATCTCAAGCTGTAATGCACTTCCTACTTCATAAAGGAGCACCTGTGTGCCTGTCAACTGGTACAGAGACGAGAAGATCAACACAAGTCACTCCTACACAAATCCTCCTCTGCCAACCACAAGCCTCTCACACACGTGCCTATGAACCGTCCTTTGTCCTGCCCAGGGCTTCTTAGAGCAAGTGAGAATGCTCATGAGGTCCACATCTCTCGGGTTTCAGACTGGTTGCTCTCGCGTTGCTTTCCCCATGGCAACCGTGTGAGAGTAGCACTGAGCTCCACACAAGGTTCTCAACGACTGATATTTGAGATGTAATTGCCAGCGCTTTCCTCTGAGGTGACTCAGGGTGGACTTGAGTCTCCAGCCTTTCGGTTAGCGGTCGAGTGGGTCAGCAGTTTGCACCACCCCGGGTGGTGGTCTCCACACACAGTGGTCTCCACACACCCAGAAATGAAGGATTCCGTTTATGGACAAAATTAAGACCCACCGTTAAGGTTCATATTGTTTAAAGAATCATGGATTGAGAGTGAAAGTTGCCAACTTATCATTTTTAATGGCTCATAATCTAGAAATATTACACTTAAATAATTTCAGGTAACTGCTTTAATTAAGGGCTTAGATGCAAATCAAACTGCAGACAAGGGCCTCGCTCCTCCCACTCTCAAACAGCTGCCGCCCAGTGGTTCCCACAAGCTCAGGGATCCCTGGGCTTCCATCCTCAGCCTGTGGGTCCTCCACCCATAACTCAGACATGGACTTCTGCAGCTCTGTGGGCTCAACAGAGAAACTGCCCTGAAGAAGAGATCCGGAAGCCAAGGAACCACGGAACACCAACGGAGAAAAGGCTCTCGAATGAACTAGGGTTGTTCTGCTTCACCTGAGCTCCCTGGAAACTTGGATTTAAAAATCACACAACTATGAGGCAATGGGGAAACACAATAAAGAAACACTCCCCTGTCCTGGACCCCTGTGCTGGAATGATTTACACACAGGATCCCAGCCCTTCTTCACAGTTACCATGCTCCTTAGAGATGCGGAATGACAGGGCAGGGGGGCCCCTCAGCCTCTCAAGTCTCACCTGAGGGTCAAACCAGATATTCGGACACCCTGCCCAGCTAGACTCAAAGGGGGCTCCACTCCACCAGTCTCAAGTCACATGTCACCACCTGAAGTTGCTAACCAAGTTAACCGCCAGCCGTAGGGTCTTGCAACATGTAGTGCAAGCCTGCAGTGTGCTCGCTTTCCGCACCCTCTCCACCCAGGCACTTCTGCCACTTTCTATGCTGAACCGACTGGCTCCAGAGAATTGCCCTTTGGCAGAGTAAGTTCACAGGAACTCTAGTCTTTGTTCAGATGCTCAGTGAGCACTCGCCGGGCTGGTTCTGGCTCACGTGTGGCAGAACAGAGCCACGCTCCGTCAGTTCCTCCAGCCGGCTTCTCAGAAGTGGTTGTGTCGTCCAGCCTCTGTGCCCCTGGGTGGACTCAGATCTCTAATCATTGGTTAGCAGCTTGGTGCTCCATTTGCACCACCCAGGAAATCCTTGAAGGAAGTTTAAGGAGACCCCCCATTCAGAACCCACAGTATTGTTTGCTCAGGAGTACATTCCTGTTTTGGGTCACCCCAAGGCTGCCCCAAGACCCTCTCCCAGGACTAAAGCCCCAAACCCATTGCTCAGCAGCAGCTCCTTCCCTCCCAATATTTTCCTCTCTTCATTACTTTAGTCTCCTATAACATCTCAATCGACTTACTCCCCTCATGCCGGAACAACGATGTTTTCTCTTCAAGAGGAAGTTGGGGAAAATCAGGTTAATAAAGCAAGAATTTCGTTGAGCAATGTAGTACATTCACAGCAAAGCATTAATAGGTTTTGATTCTGTATACTAATACCATATACTGTTACATCCGTGTGTACATCGTACATACATTGCTGCTGTCACCCCACGCATCGACACATGAGTAATATTTGTCCTCACCTCGACGTGGTCAGGCCTTCCATCGGCACAGCCCCTTTCTTGTACTCGAGCTTGGGCTTGAAAGACTCTCTGGGCAGGTAAGAGTAATAGAGCGGGTAGTTCTCGGTGTACTCGGAGAGAAGACATGGGTTCTCTGTCTTATCATAAATCTTGGTAGGGAGATGTGGACAGTGATGTCGCCTAAAAGAGACACATGAAAAAAATGAATAAATAATTTTAAAAAGACACACAGAGACAGGTTGGTTACCTTCTTGGGAGGAGGTTGATAATGCTCCCTCTCTCCCCCTTCCTTTAAAACGTGATCCAGAGCATAAATCCTATGGATGCCTGCCACTGAAAAGGCTTTACCTGATTCGTTTCTCTACCAGACAAGCAAGGTGGCCAGAATTAACGAGGGCCTGTGACGGCAGTGGCTTTATCATCAAAATCACCAGGATCATAAAGATCACACACAGCATGACAGCTGCCAAGTGCCACCCATGCAGCATCGGCATCGCTTGTTGGACAAGTGGAGTCTTTCCTTCCACTCCTTAATGGTAAATGCTGCACACCGCTCTCAGTGTCACCTCAGCTCCTAGGCTTTCCCTGAAACCTTCCCAAGAAGTCAGCAATTAAAGGGTAACACAGCAGGGCCTTCCAAGTCTCCAGGGCCAGGCTAGAGTTTCTCCTCACTGCCAGATTCCTAGAGCATACTGTCACCCTTGCCCACAAGCATCACAAGCACACACACACACAAAATATATATACACATATGTATATGCATGTACACAAACACGTGTGTGTGTGAGAGAGAGAGAGAGAGAGAGAAATACGATGGGCCAAGTGAAATCATTTTGCTTCATTTCATTGATCCTTTCAGTTGTCACCTTTGACGGTTACTTTTAAAAAAATCATTTTATTGGGGGCTTGTCCAACTCTTATCATAATTCATACATACATCCACTGTGTCAAGCACATTTGTACATTTGTTGCCCTCATCATTCTCAAAACACTTGCTTTCTACTTGAGCCCTTGGTATCAGCTCCCCATTTTCCCCCTTTCCTCCCCCCCCCTCACAAACCCTTGATAATTTTTAAATTATTATTATTTTGTCATGTCTTACACTGTCCAACATCTCCCTTCACCCACTTTTCTGTTGACTGTCACCCAGGGAGGGGGTTATATGTAGATCCTTGTGATCGGTTCCCCCTTTCTACTCCAGCTTCCCTCCACCCTCCCGGTATCGCCACTCTCACCACTGGCCCTGAAGGGATCATCTGACCTGGATTCCCTGTGTTTCCAGTTCCTATCTGGACCAGTGCACATCCTCTGGTCTAGCCAGATTTGTAAGGCAGAACTGGGATCATGACAGTGGGGGGGAGGAAGCATTTAGGAACTAGAGGAAAGTTATATGTTTCATCATTGCCACACTGCACCCTGACTGGCGGGTCTCCTCCCCACAACCCTCTGTAAGGGGGATGTCCAGTTGCCTACAGATGGGCTTTGGGTCCCCACTCCGCACTCCCCCTCATTCACAGTGATAAGAGTTTTTTTGTTCTTAGATAACTTTTATCTGATCCCTTCGACACCTTGTGATCACACAGGCTGGTGTGCTTCTTCCATGTGGGCTTTGTTGCTCCTCAGCTAGATGGCCGTCTGTTTATCTTATCTTCAAGCCTTTAAGACCCCAGATGCTGTATCTTTTGATAGCCGGGCACCCCTTCGGAAAAGTCTCCCCTGGCCTTCTTCTACTTCAATGATCTGATCATTATCACCTCTCTCCTCTCTCACACACAGCACACTCGAATTTTCTCTCAGACCCTTGTATCAACACCTTTGCATTGCCTGTAATTAACCGTATTTGTTGGTGAGTTTACGGTCTTACCTCGACCAAATGCAACTTTTGTCTCATCCACTGCTACAATCCAGTGTCTCATAACTCAACAGGCACATAGCACACATTCCGTGAGCATTTCCTGAATGACCGGCCCAATATACACAGTGATTACATAACCTGTATGATTCATTAACGTGTGCAGCTATGAATTGAAAGGGTAGAATTCAAATCCACCCCCACACACTTTGGGTGAAACAGCCAATGATCAATTTCCCAAATACCAGCCATTGAAAGCCCTGCGGCACACAGTTCTCTGACACACAGGGGTCGTCACCATGAATCACCGTCAACAGCAACGGAGGGTCTTTCAAAGCAGCGCGCTCCTCCTGTAACCTGCTGACATGGAGACCATTCTAACACAGACTAACAAATAGACATGATTTCAAGGACGCTCCTAAACTCGGGTTTTTCCACAGAAATCTCTTCCCTGTCTAAACAAGGTCCAAACAAAGAAACAACTGGGAAAAGAAAGAACACGAAGTGCTGACCTGGAAGGGCCCTATAGATCAGCCCGTCCTGCCTCTTCACCGTCCAGATGTGGACACTGCATCTAGTGGCTACTCAAGGTCACCCAGCTGGTCAGCGGCAGCTTCGCCCTGGGTCCCCTATCCCTCCTGAGTACTTGACTCACATTCACAAGCCCACTGGAAAGCCCAAACTCCAGGCTCTTAAAGGATTTGCAGCTCATTTTCACTTTTTCCCAGGAGCTGGGAGCTTGGGAGCTGCCGCAGGTGCTGTGTGCCGGACTGAAAGCTCGGTGCAGAAATGGAGGAAATTGCTGTGCCGAGTCACTATGACCTCCGGTAACAAACATAATCATTATATACCAAGACTGGGAGATTCCGGCGATCCAGAATATCAAAAATGAAGCAGAGCTCATCTCTGCAATCCCCACCGCCCACCCCAAAGGCCCCATAAATGAACTCCAATCACCTCTGGGGATGGGTAAAGGCCAAGGCTGCTTGTGAAGTGCATTTTGCTGAGCCACAGCAGTGGATTTATAAACTTCTTGGAGATTCATTCACTAAAAATGCATTCTTTTGACCTATACTCTAAGATGCAAAGGTATTGCCTTCATGGGACCCATGAGATGCTAAAGTGGCTCCCACGGGAAGGCTTTCACCAGGACCCGTCTGGCCCTGACTGGGGAGAAATAGGCCAGCGGCTAATTCACATGAAAAACCACCAAAGATTTCACCCAGGAGGTGAAAATATTGCTGAGAAGAGGCCGGGGCTCTATCCGGGCCTGCCAGACCTGCTTTTCAGTTAAGAATTCCCACCTGTACACAGGGGTGTGTAATGGGGCCCACTCTTCCCTGGAAAGAGAAGGGATTATCATGTGGGCTCCACCGCCACCTTAAATTCCTTGCAACTTTACGGTGAAGATTCATTTCGCTGGGGATGGAGACAGGCCAGGGATTTTTATAACAGGTCCTCTGAGACAGAGAGTGAGAGAAGAAACGTGCCAGTCCCCAGGATACCATCTCTTTCCGACTGGTAGAGAGCCAATCCTCTAACACAGTGGTTCTCAACCTTCCTAAAGCCACCACCCTTTAGTACAGTTCCTCATGTGGTGACCCCCCAACCATAAAGTTATTTCCATTGCTATTTCATCACTGTAAGTTTGCTACTGTTAAGAATCAGGCGACCCCTGTGAAAGGGTCGCTCGACCCCCAGAGGGGTCATGACCCACATGTTGAGAACCGCTGCTCTAAAGGCATAAAGAAGATGCCCTCTCCCGGCACAATCGCTGAAGACAAATGGGTGCACAAGCAAATGTGGTGAAGAAAGCGAATAGTGCCCGGCTATCAAAAGATATAGCATCTGGGGTCTTATAGGCTTGAAGGTAAACAAGCAGCCATCTGGCAGAGAAGCAACAAGCACACATGGAAGAAGCACACTGCCTGTGCGATCATGAGGTGCTGACAGGATTGAGTAACAGGCATCAGAAGACCCAAAACAAACAAACAAACATATTGCTTAGTGTTGCCATCCAGCAGAATGGACCTGCAGTGAGTGAGGACCTGAAGAAAAAGAGTGGCCAGTGGACTGATGATCCAAAGGCAAATTTTATTTCCAAAGTACAGCTTTATGTATAATGAGGCAAGGGCACATAAAGGGCATACTGTAACAATAACATTGTGAGAACATTGCTGTAAGCATAAACAATTTCTTGGGACTAATCTTATCTTAAATGCAGCTGCGTTCTCTCAGTGTGCACAGGGCATCTCAGACTGTGGGAACACATACGACCTTCATCCCAGCGCTCCGAGTTGCACAGCGTCCCCAAACAGCGTCACCAGTGAAACGCAGTGACTCTCTATAGTAAGAATGACAGGGGTTGGAGCAGAGAGCCCAAACCAATCTGTAGACAGTGGGACACCCCCTCACAGAAGGGTCACAAGGAAGGGACAAGCCAACCAGGGCGCAGTATAGCACCTATAAAACACACAATGTTCTTCTGGCTCCTTGAGGCTTCCTCACCCCCCACTATCATGACCCCAGTTCTACCTTTCATTTGGGGCTAGACCAAAGCCCCAATGTGTACAGGTACAGATAAGAGAAAAGAGCTCACGACACACAGAATCCAGGAACAGGAATGGGAGTAGCGATACCAGGAGGGTAGGGAAAAGGTGGGGAGAGGAGGTGGGGAAGGGGAAACAGATCCCAATGATCGAGAGAGAGACACACACACACACACACACACACACACACACACACGGACAAACAACAGAAACCATGGGGGAAGGGAGACAGCAGTCGGTGTAAAATATGAAAATAATAATAATTTATCATTTATCAAAGGGTCTCAAGGGTGCGGAGGGAGGGAGGAGACAAAAAGAGGAGTTGATACTAAAGGCTCAAATAAGAAGTAAATGTTTAGAAAATAATGATGGCAACATAGGTACAAATAAGCTTGATACAATTGATGGATGGATTGTTATAAGAGCTATAAGAACCCCAATAAAATGACCTTTCCATTTTTTTAAAATGCCCTCAAGAGGTTGCTGTAACTGCAGATCTCCTTCTCCTCCAGCGCTCTCTGGAACCATCTTCCACTCACCACCAGCCTTCACCACCCTCAGTGACTCAGAAATCACTCTGGCCAAGCGGCCCTGTGCACAGCTCACCTGCTCAGAGTGACTTCCAGCAGAGCTGGTTCTGTACGCCACTACTACAGAGGGGGCCACCCTAACAGCACCCTAGAAAACAGAAGAGAAAGAGCACCAATGAGACTTCTATATGCTGGGGCATTTCCTGTGTTCTGTGATGATTGCAGGAGTTGGGAAGGGAAGAGACGGTCTTCGCTGGCCAGAGGGTAGACAAGTGATAACTTGAGTGCCGGGCAGGGCAACAGACAGTAAAAAAGATGCCGGCAAAATCAATAAATCACGGAACAAGGGAAGACACTGAGAGGTTTACAAGCGTTACAGGGAACAACAAACTCAAATGCTATTATAGATACAATCCTACAGTCATGGTGATCTGCAAGTAGATGCTTAGCTACAAAAGCAGGCTTATAGGTGTAGGGGGAGAGTGTGCGCATGCCCAAGAATATATGGAGGTTTGACAGAAGGTATTTCTGTATGTGTATTTACCTTTCCTGCAAATGTAGCC